GGGTAGGCATGGGAGTCAGCATGCTGCATTAGACTTGGCCTTGATCTTCCAGTTAAAGTTTCAGAAAATGTATTTTTAAATAATCAGAATTAAACCACAGTCAGAGCTTTCAAAGAATGTGCATTTGTTCCAGGATATTGACTATTTCTCCAGAGCTAACAGAATGTAATTGTTTTCCAACAGTGCTTGACAGATGAATTCCAGGTTCACACTCCTGAGCTTCCTCTCACTGCAGAAAGGTCTAGATCTGCTTTTCCATTTTGCTTTAATGTAGCTACATGATTGTGCATCTTTGCAGTCAGGACTCCTAGTGAGCAATATGCAACCAGCTTTATAAAAAGGGAAAAAAAAAAAAAAGACTACAGGATGCCACAGTTATGTGATACAAGACCTTTTTTGGTTGTCAGACTCGAATGCGCAACTTCTGAAACATTCTCAGCTCTGCCAGTCCAGAAAGAATGGAGAATTTTAAGAATTATATATTGACTTCAGCAAGCTGATATTTATCATGGTAAGTCTGCAGTTGAGTCTATACTCCAGAGTACAGAAACTGCATTCCATTGTTGTCTGCTGACCTAAAAATCACCATTAAATATAGCTTTAAGACTATGAGATAAAGAAAGGCATCGTTAAATCTGAAGTGTCACTAAAAGCAAAGCTATACATCACATCCAAGCTACTTCCTGCACTGTGAGTTTCAAGTTAACATTATTAGAAAAATTCTGACAGATGGAAATATTATTTAGTGCCTCGCTGTTTCCTGCTACAAAGTGTCAGCTGCATTATCATTTTCACCAGAGTGCACTATAGAATCTCATGGTTCACATCCAGTTCTGGCATTATGCTTGGTCCCAGCTGATTTTTCATTGCTATTTCCTATGTAAGAAAAATTCATCTGTAAGCTGAAGTGTTTGTACACTACACTTGGTTTGTAGTTAGACATCTGCTAGAGAACTGCACCAATTTATTACTCAATGATTTATAACTGAAGGTAACCAAATTCACAGTCAAGCTCTCCCTCAAAGCAGTAATGAGTACAACAAACTCCATGCACCACCTTCACCTGTCCAACTAGTTTCTTACCCCTGGAGACTGTGCTGCTCAGGGGGAACCCTCTGGTTCCTTTTCAATCCTTGAGCAGCTCATGTGTTAAGCAGAATAACTTGACACCACACTGAAGCCAGAGCAGGAATGGCTAAGCCATGTATCAGCAAGAAGATGCACTCGTGAACCAGGTGCTGACTGCCCAGCCACCCTTCAGTCGGAGAACACGAGGGACAGGAGGGACACAGCTCACACCAGAACATGTTTTCAACCACTACAAACACCTTCATAGTACACCAGCTCATAGATGGTGCTTCTTTAAGATAGACCAGAGCCCAGATAAAAGAGGGAGGTCTTCAGATGCCTGACAAATACACAGTTCAAAAGAGCCCCATTTACCTCCACATCATCAAGCACATTCCTATTTGAAAAGTTACTAATTTGAATAACCCAGAGTAATAACTCTAGACAGAAGATTTTGCAGTCCAGCAAGTAACTGCACCGATCTGTACTGCTCTGTAAATCAGCAGTTAAATTACAGTCTTGATTTAAAACCACTCACACAGGGGCTCAGAGGGATGACACAACAGCACTCAGATTTGGCTTTTGCAGCCAACTGTGTGACTTGCTGCTTCTGGCACATGGGTATTACTTTGCAAACTCAGAGCACCAGGGGAAGGCATCACATCTTAGCCACAACGTCACCTGAACTGGACAGAGGTGACAAACTCACTGCTCAAACGTAACTTACAAAGAACACTTTTGTCAATGTCCACCTACTTAAAAGCCCTTTAACTAGTAACCCTAACTACTATTTTAGTCAATTTATGAGATGTGCTAATGACAACAGTAGGAGGCACACTTGACTCAGAATAACTAGAGCTGAGATGAATACATACAAAGGGAATAAAAGCATTTGAAGGCAAACACTACACTAACAATTTCCTTGCAGCAACTGAAGCTGAGCACAGGCACGAAGCAATAGCCGCTGAGCTCTTCACAGCAGGGCAGGTATTTCACATTTAAACACCTGCACACAATATTTTAAAATAAGTTCAGCTACAATTTGCTTCATATGGACAGGTCACAAGGTGAACTAGGATAGTCCATCAGTCACACCTCTGTTGAGTTTTTGTTACATTCAACAAAATTGATTCATCTTTCACAGATCCAGAAAAAATTAAGTCTTGGCCAGGACCTTGGCTTGCTGGAGATACTAAGAACACCAGTAGGCCACCCAGTCAACTTCAGCTCTTCCCCCTTCTACTTCCTCCACAGTTCAATTCATCAAGCAGAAGGGACAGTTCAGTTACAAGGCAATTCAAGAGCTTGAGGACATGAGCAATATCCTCCACAGTTTCACTAACTTGGGAACACAAGCTGCATTTCACATTTCATAAACAGCATCTAAACTTCCTTTGAAAGGAAGCATAGTCATAGTCTCAGGTTTTGATCTTCATTGCTACAGAGAACATACAAAAAAAAAAAACCAAGCATAGTTGCATTATTCAGAATTTAAAAGTCATTCTGCCAGACACCAACACAAAATCTTCAGCAGTGCTATTTAGAAGATTCTGGGGAGGTGAGACACCTCAGATGCCTACACAGGAATATAGAGAAAAACTGCTATTGTTGAGGAACATTATTTCAAGATAATTAAAAGCAACCATCAGTTAGTTATGGTTGCTGTAACACAGCATGGAAAAAAAATCATTCATGTTTCCCTAATAAAGTAATTATGCTTTGATGGTTCATCAGTCCTCAACCCATGGCATCCTAAAAAACCAGTAACATCTAAGTTTCAGTTCATCTTTGTGAATGCAGATTTCATTTTGATACAAATCATGCATAACAAATACCAACCCATCAACAATTGCATTTTCCTATATAAGGGGATATACCCCATCCCAATAAATACCAAGTTCCTCCTTCTCTTCCTAGTCACAAACAATAAAACAGGACTTAAAATATTCTACTAGCTGTAGAGTCTAGCTCCTTCAGCAAATACTTTTAACAGCTATAAAATGAACATTCCCTTCTTAAACTTGTCACTTTGTATTGTCTCCTGAGAGGAAGAACACAGCCTTTGGAATCAGGCTGAACTTAACCCACAAGGCACTCCTGCAATGCAGTTCCCCTCTGAGCAATACATCAAGCATTTCCCCCTCACAAACGTTTCCATTCATGCTTTTTGCAACTTTTCTATTCCAATACTACTCATTAAATTCACCAATCAAGTGAAGGGCCAGCAACATGCCCTTTAAAAATGAGCTTCTTCATTAAATTCCTTCAAAGGTAGTGATTCTTCAGATGGTTTGTCCACATGGTACTGATGAAGATTAAGACACTTCAAGAGGCAACATTAGTGAAAAGCAACTGATGCCAAGCTGAGGTTAGCTTCTGATCAGTAAGTGTAAAGATTAAAACACAGAGATTAAAGTCACAGAGCTCGAAAATTGAAAAGATTAAAATTTCAAATAAAAGTCGTATAATTTTGACGGGTTATTAATCTCCTCACAGTTCAAATTGCACAAGTAATGCTTCAGCAGAGCCCAACACTTGATCATTTCACTTTTAATTTAAAATCAATGCTGAAACAGACCACCACAGCAAGTATGCAGCTAGCTAGGAGGAGCAGGGCATGCTGTAGGGTCACAAAGAAAAGTGGAAGCTTTCTTCCACGGTTAGCAAGCACAGAATAACGGCAATAACATAACGAACCAAGATACTGGCAGAATGCTTGAGCAACCATCCAAAAGCAAACATGAATATAAATTAAGAAATCTTTTAATAAATTCCCTCAGCTTGACTGGAACAGATATATAAGTACTTTTGAAAAAGTTCTGATGCAGTTACTGCAATCAATCATTTGTGAGTGAGCCATTGACTGCTTAAAAACCCTACAAAGAGTTTTGGGATTTTCACCCAGTGCTCTTTTATCTGCCCTAAAGTGGATGGGAACACAAACAATAATAAAGATGTACTACATGAGCCCTTCTACAAGCTGCACCAAAACCCAACACTAAAAAACAAACACTAAACCTTTTACCTTAACTCCGAGGCTTTGAAAACAAACCAGCACACCAGGTATTTGTTCCTGGTACTCCAAGCTCTTTCCACTTCTTTTCAGGGTGTTGCACAGCAACCTGCGTCTGTTACACAAGCTCTGACTCGCAGGGAACACTAAGGGTGTTCTTGCCATCCTCAGACTGGGCTCCTACACAGCTCTGACTCTACTCGGTCTAGAAACTCGATCAAAGAGCAGTGTCTTAGCCCAGTTTAATCCTCCAGTCATCTAGAAAGGCTAAACTTGAGGGTGTTTTCTAAAGCTTCAGAAAGAAGATCGTTTCTTTCTTTCCTTGTCCCTGTTAACAAGTATGAACCCTGGAAGCTGGAATGAAAAATACAGCTTTGCAAAACTAAATGGTGTGATACACTACACGACTTGTGTGTATTCTACAGTTATCTATCCCACAAGAATTCTCTGCCACTACCTATGAAATGTCCGTGAAATTGTCGTTTTCACATTTTTTCGTAAGAAAAGCAACTAAAAAAAATTCTGAAAAATTAAGGATAGTTAAAGTCAAGTCAACATTCACTTACACGTCTTCCCTCACCCTCCCTGAAGCTACACACAAGTGATTTTACAATCCTCCAAGCTACCTTTTGGAGGCATAAAATGCAAGACGCTATACGAAACAGAACTGTAGCACGTTTTGTGATGATAAAGCTAAAATACGCTTCAGAGAGCGCAGTAATTAAAATAATTAAAAGGCAAACTGACTCTCTGGAAGGGATGCAGCTTTCTTCCAAAGGACTGCCTCAGGTAAGGTCTGCAGTTCCTTCCGAATTAAGTAGACCTCGAGCTGATGGGTTTTACCCCCTTCGAGCACAATGACTAGCACCTGGGAGAGTGACTGCGCTGTGATAATTCACATTTTTTTTACTTATTTTACCTGTAGCTCGCACCAGGCAACTTCCACAGTGGTTTCAGTATCCAGTCCTTTATACACAGTTTTGAAAGAGCCTCTTCCAATCTCGATGTCAAACTTCAGGAAGCGGCCATCCGGGGAGATGCCCACCGCCTTGGTCTCAAGCTCTTCGATGTCTTCCTGCTGCGTCCTCCGCTCCTCAAATTCCCGGCTGGCAGCTGACAGGCTGCCGGCGGCGCTGGTAGGGGGTAGCGCAGTTGCCTCATCCCCCTCCTCCTCCTCCTTGGGCAGCAGCGGGGCGGCATCCTTGGCGGCCGGGGGCTCCTCGGCAGCCTGTCCTTCCAGGGGGAGCGGGGCGGGCGGCGGCGGCCGCGAGTCGGCCTCGGTGGCGGCCGCAGGGGCGTACGGGGCCCGGCCGGCCCCCTCGGGAGGGAACACCGAGGGAGCCGCGCTGCCTCCCGAGACAGGGGCCGAGGGCGCTGCGGGCTGCAAGCTGGGCAGCTCCAAGGCCGTGGCGTTGGAGTCGCAGATCACGCTCCGGCGGAAGAAGCGGTGCTCGGTGGCTGCCGCCCCTCGGCTGTCCTTGTCCATGGTGTGGCGGCGGCGCCGGTACTCCTCGCTGCGGCCTCCGTTCCCCGGCCCGCCGCCCGCTCCACCGGCGCCGGAGGCTCCGTGCTCGGCGGCTCCCAGCCTGTCTCCGACGGAGCTGTCCGAGCTGGAACCGTTCTTGGGCGGCGGCGGCGGCGGCACCAGGAAGCGGGGGCTCGGGGGGCCGCTGCCGGTGGTGCCCCCCGACATGGTGCCCCGGGGGAGCGCGGCTGCGGCGAGGCGGCGGCGGCGGGAGGCGAGAGAAGGGCCGGTCACTGAGCGGGGAGCGCGCCCGGCCGCGGCTGCCGTTGCAGCTGCAACAGAGGAGGGTCCCAAGGGCTCCTCGCGGCGGAGCTGGGAGGTTGGGCCGGCGGGGTGGATCCCCGGTCAGCGTCTGCATCCATCCTGCAGCGGGGAGCCGGGCAGCGGGGCCGACATGGAGCACCGGGAGCGGACGCGGGGCGCCGGGTCGGAGTGGGGGACGGCGAGGGAAGGGAAAGCCTGAGCACCGGGGAGACCCCCGAGCGGGGAGACGCCGGTGCCTCGCCGGCCGCAGTTACTGCCGGCGATGGAGAGCGAGCGGGGCCGGCCCGGGTGCGGGGAGGGGAGGGAAAGGGGCCGGGACGCGAGGAGGGAGCGGGGCGCAGGCCCGCACGCCAAGAAAGCCGCCGCGCTCAGTCACTCGCTCCGAGCGGCAGAGGCCCGGGCAGGCCCAGGGCAGGGAAAGGGGTCCCGGGGGCTCAGCCCCGCCTCACCGGGGCGCCCATGGCGGCCGCGGCCTCTCCACCGCCCGGCAGGCGCAGCCACCGCCCGCGCGGCCGGGCCGCGCTCTCTCCAACAGCCGCGGCCGCCTCGCGCGGAGCCGGAAACCCTCCTCCTCCCTCTTCTTCTTCTCCTGCTACTGCTCCTGCTGCCCGCGGCCCGGGGCCGCCGCTCCCCGGGGCCGCCGCCGAGCTGAGTCCGGGTGGCGCCCGGCGGGCAGGACCGAGCGCGGCCGCCCGGCGACGCCTCGGCGCTAAATGGCGACGGCGGGAGCCCCAACCGACACACGGTCCGCGGGGGGAGGAGGGGCCGCGCCGCCGGCCACGCCCCGCCCGAGCCCGGGCCGCGCGTCGTCCCCTCCCCCCGCCGTTGAGGGGAGGTGGCCGCGCCCGCCTCGCGCGGGGCACTATGGGAGCTGTAGTTTGCAGCGGCCGCGCCGCACCGGGGGAGCCGCCCATGGATTCCCCCGGGATGGGAGAAAGGGAGCGAGAGAGCGGGGAAGGGAATCGGGGAGGGAAGGGAGCGACGAAGAACGATGCACGAAGGAGGTGTGCCCGGGGTCAGGCGGCTCATGTGGTGTGGGGAAGCTCGTCCTGCGCGGCCGCCCCTTCCTCCACCCGCCCTGCGGGTCAAAAGGCACCGGGGCTGCTTGCGCTGCTCGTTTCAAGTCCTGCGTTACACCCACAAGTCAAATATTTTGAATGTACCTATTTATTCAGATATTGTCTATAAGTAGTTAAATATATTTCACAGGGTATGGCGAGTTGGAAGGGACCCCCAGGATCACCGAGCCCAGCGCCTGGCCCTGCACAGCACCATCCCCAAGAGTCCCACGCTGTACCCGGGAGCGCTGGCAGGCTGGGGCTGTGCCCGCTGCCCTGGGGAGCTGTTCCCAAAACACCCTCTGGGGGAAAAACCTTTTCCTGCTCCCCAAGCCAAACCTGCCCTGGCCCAGCTCTGGGCCATTCCCTCTGCTCCTGTCACTGTCACCAGATGGAAGAGGTCAGTGCTGTGTCTCCTCTTCCCCTCCTGATGCAGCTCTAGGTAACAATGAGCTCATGTTTCCCAGCAGCCTCTAAAGTTCTTTAAAATCATGGACAGCAAAGAGTCCGTGTAGCAGAGTACTGTATGAACAAGTGGGGGTTTGGGTTTTTCCTCCGTTTAGGCCATTTGGCACTAAGTGGCCAAGCAATCTGAAATGCAGTTACCTGCTCTGTAAATTGTTCAAAAGAAAGAGAATTTGCAGCCCCCACCTTTAACACGAGTGTTTCTGCTGAACCTGGGCTGTACAAAACCCAGCCTGTACAGCAGCCAGAGCCCACGGGAACCCTGACACGAATTGGGAACTTTCAGCTTTGGCAAAGACGAGTCATCTAAATTATTTATATCATGTTCCTCTTTTGTATCAATAAACCAAAACCAAGCACTTTCCTTCTTACGGCAGCAGTCTTTTGAAGTCAACTGGAATGTACTGCAGAAGGAGTAAATGATTTTGTACCATGATTTTCAGGCAGCTACAAAGCAAAAATTACATTGAGAAAGAAAAAGAAAACTAAGAAAATTCCCTGAGTAAGTAGTATGTTCCCAGCAAACACACTGTTGTTTTAAATACTTTTTCTAAAGTTATTTTAGAAGTTTAGAGGAAGTTGTGAGCTGCTGATGCGAGGCCTTAACTCCTTCTGCAGAAAGTGGCACAAGTGGCGCTTTCAGAGCTCCACAGCTCCCAGCCACAAATCATCAACCTGCGCAGTTCTCACGTGCTTATGTTCCTCACAAATAAAATTTGACACAGTAGTCAGCAGGCTGTTGTTTTCCTTACATCCTTCTGTCCTACTTTTGAGCCCTTGTAACAACAAACAAACTAACGCTACAGTCCTCACAAAGAGGACAAGAAGCGTTTGGCTGTACAAATCTACAGTGAAGATTTCTGCATGGCTTAGGCCTTCTGGAGCCTGCCTTCACCAAAAACGTGGGTTTAGTTTGTGTGTTCATCAGGGTGCCACCCAAACGGCATCGGCACCGAGAGCAGACACGCTCCAAAGCAGTGCTGAGCTGAGCAGCATCATTTGATTAGCAGCAGAGTGGCTGGATCGAAACTGATTAACTCCTAATTCAATCTGCCTCATCCCCCTGCCCTGGCAGGACCAGCAGCTCCTCCGAGCCCAGCAGGCTCCATCCAGCGTGTTCCTGTGTGTCTCTGTTCATTTGTAGCAGCAGCAGCAGCCGTGTCCACGCTGCCTTTGTGCTGTAAAGAGCAGCAGGACACAGTAGCAGGGCTGCAGCCACTGCCTGCACCAGCAGCGATTGCACTGCTTGCTCAGTGTGAGCCAGGTGGGCCCAAAGCAGCGCCCCGAAATCTCTGCTGTGGCTGAACCCCTGGGGCTGGGGGTGAACCCTGGGCAGAGCAGGATGGGCAGGAGGCATCTCCTGCATCTCCTGCATCATCTCCTGCATCATCTCCTGCATCTCATCTCCTGCATCATCTCCTGCATCATCTCCTGCATCTCATCTCCTGTATCTCATCTCCTGCATCTCATCTCCTGCATCATCTCCTGCATCTCATCTCCTGCATCATCTCCCACATCTCATCTCCTGCATCATCTCCTGCATCTCATCTCCTGCATCTCATCTCCTGCATCATCTCCTGCATCATCTCCTGCATCTCCCACATCTCATCTCCTGCATCATCTCCCTCATCTCCGGCATGGGCTGCTCACAGCTCCCCTGGCCCCATCCCCTCCTCACTCCCGGGCTCTCAGCAGTTCCTCTCGACCACCTTTTCCCTCAGTTAACTCGACAAAAGCCTGGCAGAAGAGGCTGCAGCAGAGCCACGGGGAGCCCGAGGCGGTGTTTGACTAAGAAATGGTGGTAATTATGTCCAAAGGCACCTCCCCGGTGCCTGATCCAGCACATTCCCAAACGCTCTGGGAAGTCAGGGAATCCTCGGTGCGAGGTCCCGAAGAGCTGCTCCCCTCACTGGTTCCTCTCCTGGGCAGAGGAAGGCAGAGCACTCATCCTGGCAGGCAAAAAGAGCCGAGCAGCTGACCTGGAGGTGGGAATGATGGATTTTTGTCTTCTTTGGCTCTGAAAAAAGAAGCGGTATGATATTGGCAATTATATTTTATGTGGGTGCTGATTTAATTTTGTCATTCTAAAAAAAGATGAATGTAATAAAGAGTGTGGGCTTGCTTTCCCTTCAATTTTATTTCTTTTAATCTGTAAAGCTCTGTTTAGGCTAAATGGAAAATTTCGGTATTGCAGCAAGATTTAATAAGCCTGAAGTAAATTCTATATGTATTCTATGTTTAGAAACAATTAATTTAAATAGTTTCAGTGCCAGAGCTCCTCAACCAATTAAAACTATTTCTTTTGCCTTTTGCTGTAAGAAAAACCCACAGAAATAAGGAGCCTGACTACACTTGAGAAATTACAGGCAAAGAGACTTCAGCGATCTTTTGATTGAATCCAAAGGGCTTACACTTGACATCGTAAAAATATCCTTCTGTCAAGCCTTTTATAGTTACAATCATCTTGGTTGGAACAATAATGGTTTAAAAAATTACTTTGAATGAAGTGTGATTTTGGAAGTTGACCGAATCAATTTTTTTTTTTTTTCGGTTTTGCTTTCTCCGGTGAAATTTCATCCACTGTTGGCATCCATGACCTGTCCATGTGACAAAGTCTTAATGGGAAGCAGCTATTCCCTATTTTCTCTTATGCAATACATTATGCAATACATAATTTTGAGGCATGTGATTTTATTCCATAACCTAAGTGCTCTTCAAAGCAAACTCCTCATCTCAGTTTTATTGCCCATTACCAGATTGCAGCTACAGTGCCATATTACAGCAGTGACAATACAAGTTTTTCTACAGCAGTTTCTTTTTCTTTGACATTTCTTAAATCTAGCCCTCTGCCAGTGTTCACTCCTGTTTCTTAAAGCTGAAAGCAAGTGAAAATATTTCAAGACCTCATGCTTGAGAAATGAGAGTGTTTAACTTGCCAGATATTCTGTTTTGCTTTGTTTTTTCCCCTACCAAGTCAAAGTTAATTGGAAACTTAATCTAAAACCTTTCATTTGTTTTCCTTCAAGTGAGGTTTTGTACTTGCAAGTAGCTCTGGAAGTTGGCTTGGTTATGAAATGGCTGTAGCCATCCCTAGGACCTAGAGGGAGTGCAAATCCTCAGGCTCTGTAGTGGGTGGTCTGTCAGACAGCATTGGGTGGTGAGTCCTGCCCAGACCTCTGATCCTGGCTGCTCTCTCCACTAGCAGGACCCATGGGAACTGGAAAGAGGAAGAACTGCAAGTCTTACAGGGCTCAAAACCAGGCATCCCTCTTGATGCCATCCTGGCTTACAGAGTCTGAAAGTTCTGCGGGAAGCCAGGTCCACACCAGAGCCAAAACACCTGAGCAAAGCCTGAGCCGTAGCTGAAGGACCAGGGAAAGAGACAGCCAGACTGTATAAGAAGGACTA